GCAGCGAACACCTTAGTAATCGATTCTTTACTATAGGTTCCAATGGCGAGATATCGATAATCGATCATTCACGCCACGCCTCTATCTTGGACTCTTAAGTATATACGAAATTTATTCCTTTATCTGTAATACCTCTAAAAATATTCATATTTGAGAGAAGAAACTACAATTTTGAAAAATCTCATTATTCTTTGATCTGCGAAAATTCGATCGTTGAAACTTAATTCCACGCCTCGAGCAAGTGACCCATTAACCTTCCCGCGAGAAAAAGCACAAAACGCATCCGGTTGTTTCCCACCCCAACAATGCTTAAAACTGGCAACAATGCTTCAGAATTCTCAAGCTGGCTCATTGTTCGATTGAGAAAGGAAGAAAGTGAACTTGATTCTCCGTCGACCGGTAATTGCGAGCATCTTAGCTTTACCGGGTTGCCGAATCGTCTCACTTATTTTAAATTATTTATTTTAATGGGAAAATGTGCAAAAATCCTGCGATTTGGCAATAGGTCTGGGTAACAGATGAGAGCCTGCACGCGCATAGGCACGCGTTTTTACACCGTGGGGAGTAGTGCCGTTGTCATTGCTAGCTCTTCATTTCTTCGCTGTTACACAATGAATGAGTCATAATTAAGATATATTTACAAGCAAAATTAAATAAAAAACCGCGAGCTGAAAATATCAGTTAAGTATCCCACTAACCAAAATAATAAGGCGTTTGATCTTGATCAATGTATGTAAAAATCATTGGTGGATCCAGCAAATTGGCAACATTGTTTTTCCCCCATTTAAACCTACGGAAATGTATCGATTCTCGGAGGGACCAGGCACCAGGTGCTCCGACAAGAATCGATTATTCAACATAGGTTTAAATGGAGGAAATCCGGTGTTGCCACATTGACTCATCCGCCTCTGGTGAAAATTGTGGGGAAAAAAATTCCAATTTCAACTTTGCTTTCATGTTACACCCCGTGTTTTGGAAAGAGCTTATTGATACCTGCTTACATGATTTTGTTTTTAAATTTATTTTTGATTCTGTATAAAATTAAGCTCTAAAAAATTTCACGAAAAAATTATTTAAAGCTACTTTTTTTTGTTCGCGTGCTTGATATGAAACAAAAATAAAAAAGGAAGTGAACAAAAGAACGAAAAAACTCATATTCCCGCCCAAAAAATATAATGTCAGTTATGCAAATTTCTTTTCTCGACAAACGCACAAAATTAAAAAAATTGAAATATAAAGCTGAAAAAGATTTCTTGGCCCGTGCAATTAAAAACCCACGAAACAATCGATATCAATCGAAGTAGGCTGTCTTACCTAGAATCGATTATTTATTATGATATTAAATGGAGGAAAACTTCGAAAACCAGTGTTGCCATCTGGCGGTAATTGCGCCACCGGGGCTCGTGGGTCATTAAGGGTGGCAAATTTGTTATTTGGCAACGCTGTTCTTTCCATTTAAATCCATTGGAAATATCGATTTTAGGTGAAACAAGCTGCCTCACCAGGAGTCGATTAATTGCATACATTTAGATGGAGGTAAAACAGCGTTGCCAACTTTCAAGAATTGCCACTAGCTCATTAATACTCTGCTAAGGGTCATTAACCTTGCTGAAGGAGCAAGCGCTCCGCCACATTTGGAAGTTGAACAACCCGTAAAAAATGTGTACCAGGAACACTGATGTGGAAATCTTGCAATGCGATGGTATCTCCGTTTATTTTTTGTCACTTATTCTTGTGTTCTGCATTAATGAAAGCCGAAGCCATTAATTCGTCGTCCTCGGACGTAGCTCCATTTCAAGATTGCCAAATTGACTCAGACGATTGATTTATGTTACAAAATTGTACCTGTACAGTTTATATCAAACATGCTTCTGACTATTGAATGAAATCTGAGGGAAAATCAGTGAAATTTTCAGTTAGGAATGCCCAAGATTCTCCTGGTTAATTTGCAATTTGCGAGGAGAAATTTGGCAACATTGAAATGAAGATACGTTCTTTCGTGAGGGAAACGACAAACTGAAACAGAACTCTGGCGAATCTATACTTGAATGGGAAGGTGAGTTTTGTGGAAGAGGAAAAATACAGCTTTTTTGCTCAAAATCTGTAATTTTTTCCTCGTTCTCATCTGCCCTGCTCTCCCTCTTCTACCCCGAGAATGCGTCAATAATACAAGTTCAAGGAGATTAAACGTGCTTTTGTATTAAGAGAAATATCCCTTACAATGTGGCTAGAATCGCGCGTGCCCAAAAATTATGTCCGCTTTTGAATTCCAAGATATCAACAGTTCTTTGAACCCAAAGATAATGAGCAAGCAAGGGCTCTTTCCTGACTTGAAATAAATATACTTTGAATTTCATTTTATTTTACCCTTTTTTTCTCTTTTTTTATCTTCTACACCGTTAGTGAAACTTGTGATAAATTTTGCTTTAAAATTGTAGGTAAGGAAAATGAAAATTGGTGATGCACGGAAAATTTCATTTTGAAATGTATATCCATCAACCATTTGACTAGATATTTGATCCTGGATGATGATAACATCGTGTAATACGTGCTCTTAATAGAAATTGCATAAATGACCTATCTGGAAAAAAAATAAAGAGATAGCAATTTTCTTTGTCGCAAAAGGCGTACCACAATCATTCAATAATTCCTTGGGACCTTGGACCTATGGGTCATTGAATGTTACCATCTAAATATGTTTTTAATCTCCTAAGCTTCATTGCAAAAACATACAGGATTCTGCAACCGCCTGGAGTGGTTAGCGGTTTTCAAAATAGAAATGAATGCAACAGAAATTAGGCACAAAATTGAGCATTTATAACAGTCATACGAAAATTTACAAAAATTTACATAAATATTTTCACAGAAAGTTTACAAAATTTTATCTATGTATATTCAAAATCAAGAGCTGTTGGACTTTGTTTCAGGTTTCAGACCTGGCTGAGAACACAGAGGCTTGTAATGGGAACCTGATGAATTCTGCGCTAATTTTTTCCCAACGGTTTCAGACCTGGCTGAGAACACAGAGGCTTGTAATGGGAACCTGATGAATTCTGCGCTAATTTTTTCCCAACTGAACCAAAAGGAATTATAAAGCAGGGCAGTTCCATGTAAATAATTCCTTTTAGCAGAAATACGCCCAGCTGTCAAACCTCTATGTATACTGCTCTATAAAGCAAAGTTAACTAAAATTAAAGCCGAAGCGGTTTAATAATTACATTGCGACAATGCAAAATTTCTGACATATCATTTAATAATTTTACTTTAAAAATGTCACCCCAATTGAAAATAACCAAAAAAATATTAAGGAGCAATGAGCAACCGTTTAAATTTTGAGCAAAATCTGGCACGGGTGATCTGGGATACCATGTATATAATAATAATATGCGACGCTTTATCACGACTGATTGCTAGATTTTGGTGTCAACAACGGTCTTAAACCCTGAGTAATATCAACAGCTAGAATTACGCCCCAGAAAATGGGAAAAAGATCGATCGAAGTTTTTTTTTTTTTTTTTGACGAACAACTTCAAAATTTTAGCATCTTTTAGAGTAAAAAATACGTGCACTTTGCAATGCTGCAGTGCCAAAAGAAGGCTTGAACTGAAGCTACGACTTTTCTTGGAGGATTTTCTTATCTCACTGTTTTGTTTGGGAAAAATTTGAACGAAATTCCTGCGTTTTCAAAGAAGGCCAAAAAAAGGCCCTTCCCTTTCCAAAAAGGCTCTCGGTAACCTTCTGGTTACTTAAAACAATTTTCATAATTTTTAGAAACCAGTTTTGGAATCTGGGATCCTCAACATTCAACAAAGTTTGCTGGATATATTCCTTAACTGAAGAGAATGTAAAGTTATACACCGACCTGTTAAAATTTTCGTCCAAGTCTTGCTAAAACGTAGTATTAGAAAATTAAGAGCACTTCCCTTTCAAAAATTTCTTGACATCAGACTTTGAGTTTTGAGCAAAAACCTCATTCGGGAGACGCAAGCAGATTTGATCAAATTCCATCACAATTTCCACAGGAAAAAATCCCGTTAGTGCCCTTCTACTAGCCTTGGTCACGTAATCAATATTTTTGTCAATATCTCAAGGTCACCTAGCTGGTATAAGGCGGAAATATACTTACATAAAATCATTTCGGGGTTATATTAACTTCGGGACCTTGATATCCTATCAGCATCATCTTAAGGTGACTCAGTCAGTATAAACTAGAAATGTACTTATACAGCGTCGTTTCTGACTTAAACTAACTACGAGACCTCGATGCACTAACAATAAACATTTTTGTCTACATATCAAAGTCACGTAATTAGTATAAACTGGAACCGACGTAACGACCAACCTACCAACATTCAGCTGGCAGTTTAATGTTGATGGAGATGGTCTGATTTAACGTTATTTGAGGGGCTTGTAGGACGAGGCGCACGAGTGCAGTTTTTGCTATTTCGATATGTTTGAAGTTCCGGAGCTGCATGAATCCTCATGGTGGAAAAAAATTCAAGCTGACTTTTTGATGCTTGAAAATTGGAATTTTGGAGCGAATCTTACAGGATATACATTTAAACTAGTTTTACTTGACATCATAAATTTTTCATTTTTTCAAAAACTCCACTCGTGCGCCTTGTCCTCCAAGCCCCTTATTCCCAGTTAACATTCACTTGATGACCTTGACATATTCCTCAAGGTCATTTCCGGATTACATTAACTCGGTGACCTTGACATATTCCTCAAGGCCATTTTAAAGGCGGATCCAACAATTGGACTACATTTTGCAATTTGGACCTATAGATTCTAGCCTGGTTTAATAACAACGTATGAGCTATTAGTTTCCCTTTGCACATAAGTGTTTTTCCAGAAGAGCCAGAATTTATAGTTCCAAATTGCAAAATGCAGTCCAATTTGGCAACACCGGATTTTCTCCATTTAAACCTATGCTAAACAATCGATTCTTGTCGGAACACCTGTCCCCTCCAAGAATCGATACATTTCCATAGGTTTAAATGGAGGAAAAACAATGTTGCCAGTTTGCTGGATCCACCTCTGGGTCATTGTCAGATTACATTAACTTGCGGTGACCTTGACATATTCCTCAAGGTCACTTGTCGATCCGTCTCCGACCGGGCACGCTCCGCCTCCGATGACTGTGGTGCGTGTGCGGGTGGGCGTGGTGAGGCTTCTCGTAGCCGAAATTGTAGTACTTGACCGGTGGCTCGGGGCTCGGTCCGAAGACCATGTTCCGGATGGTCATCCACAGGGCCGCCGAGAACGCCATCTGGTTCATCATCAGGGTCTGCATCACGAACATCTTCAGGTTCGCCAGCACGATCGGCGAGAACCCGAGCATTATCAGCTGCGGGATCAGCATGTACGGGCTGAACATCATGTCCGTCACCTTGCCGCGACCCTCCGATCGCTTCTCGTTCGTTTCCGGTCGAACTCCGTCCGTTTCCGGTCGAACTCCGTCCGTTTCCGGTCGAACTCCGTCCGTTTCCGGTCGAACTCCGTCCGTTTCCGGTCGAACTACATCCGTTTCCGGTCGAACTCCGTCCGTTTCCGGTCGAACTCCGTCCGTTTCCGGTTGAACTACATCCGATTCCGGTCGAACGCCGTCCATTTCCGGTTGAACTACATCCGTTTCCGGTCGAACTCCGTCCATTTCCGGTTGAACTCCATCCGTTTCCGGTCGAACTCCGTCCATTTCCGGTCGAATTACATCCGTTTCCGGTCGGAGTCCATCCGTTCCCCGGGCGACTCTGCGCGTTTCCGGTCGCTCTTCGTCTTTTCCCGGTTCCCCACCGGAAATGGGTATTTCGGTGACGACGCTGTAGGTCTTGGGCCGGTGGCTCAGGAGATCCTCGACGCTTTTGACGAGGCGGCCGAAACCCTCGAGGAAGCCAGGTTTCTCTGACTTTTTGACCTTTTCCGGTCCGATGAAGCGTTTCAGGAAGGAGAGCACGATCTCCTCGCCGATGGAGATCTCGTTCGGGGCGGGCGCGCTGGCGTTGGCTCCTGGAGGTCGGTACACCAGCGAGTCGATGTAGGATTCGTTGCTACGCGCGCACCCTATCGTCAGGCCGGCGAAGACCATTGCAACGGCTAGGATAGCGGGCGGCGTGAGGCGTGCTTCCAACATTTCTTCGCGCCGTGCATTTACTCTTCAAAGTAAGTTCACTGCACTTTTGGGTGCAATTAATACTGTTACCGAGTGAGCATTTTGGAGGAGGAAGTGCTTTTTTCAAAGATTTTTTCTGCGATTTGTCAATTTAGTTGGTGGAGACCAGCGTTTTGCGGAGCACGAAAAATGTCACTGTATCTCTAAGTAAAATGCTCTGAAGGGAAAATTTCTGCGCCTTTCGGCGATTCAAGCGGTTGAACTAGCAGATCTGAGAAAAGCACTATTTCTTCTGGAAAAGCGCGCTTCTGGCGAAATGTTTAAGCCCTCTTCGCGATTTTATCGGCGAAAATTAATTATATGGCGAGGAACACAGTAATATTTTCACTTCTATTCAAGCGTGGAAAAGAACGACGTTTTATTTCGGAAGAGACTGCGAGGAACTAAAATTCAGAATTTCTGGCAGGTAATTCCGCGTGTTCTAACACAGACCAATTCACAACCGTGATCGCAAATTCGCGCGAAAAACAGTTACCGCGAACCGATTATAAATCACTCAGGTGTAACACCTTCACTAATTCACCAGCTCCCGGGACGCTATTTTGCCGGAAACAAAATCCAACGGTGACCGATCGAACCACCGCACTGGACTCCCAAAAAGCCACCAGACGAGCGATACACAAAGCAAACCGGTTCCAAGTCGAAGATTTTTTAGAAATTCCAAGACCGGAGCCGTCACTATCGAAATCGCACTTTCCGGGTCCGACACGTGGAAAACGGGCGGAAAAGCCGGTCACTCCCGCGCGGAAAACTCACTTTTCTAGGGGAAACCGATCGCGTGGCCGAGTCCACACCGCAGACCGCGAGATCGTGAATGGTCCGGGCCCCGGTGAATGGTGAGATGTGATCCTGGTGTCTGCTGTCGCGGATGAGTGCGCCTCCCCCCCCCC